TTTATTATAGTATTTGGCTTTATCTTCTCGAGCTGATCTTTGAAATTTCCTGTTCAGCTCTTGCACCTCTTCAATTTTTCCATTTGCTTTGGCTTCTCTAAGTTGGAGAGCAAGTTTCAGAGTCTCTTCTGAAAGAATACAGCCTTGTAATTTCCTAATTGTAAACCATTTGGTGATCTCTTGTTCTGTTCATAAAAACTACAGTCTTAGAAATCCCATGGAACAGTTCTACCTTGTTCTATAGGGTCTCTTTGAGTCAGAATCAACCCAATGGCAATGGGCTACTTTTATGGTTTAGTGATAGAATTTTCTCCTTCTATGAGTGAGATATGGTTTTGATTTTTGTCAATGTGCCTCATGCACAGCCACCACCCATGTGTCATTGGAGACTTGTTTGTTGTTAAGATGCTGACCAAGTTTCAATGGAGCTTCCAGACTAAATAGCTAAGGAAGAAAGGGAGGACCAGTTAGAACCCTATGAATCACAACATTCAATTCTACAACTGCTCATAAGGATGGCATAGGTCTGGAAAGCATTTTGTTTCATAATACCAGGGTCACCATGAGATAGGGACTGGCTTCCTGGCACCTAACTATATGCTATATCATGAAGATAAGGACATCAAGTGGAATGACTGAAAATAAGAAGGAGACCCTCAATGAGATGATTGGCACAGTGGCAGCAGCAATGGGTTCAAGCATAGCAGCAATTGTGAGGATGGCACAGGACCATCGGGTCACTATGGCTTGAAACTGACTAGATGGCGCCTAACAACAGTCTACAATTTGAGCTACAACTATAATTTTTAATTTTTTAGTAACCCTATTCAAAAAGTAGAATAAAAAGATAAACTTGATTATTAAAATATATTTTACTCACTATATCCAAAATACCATGTAACATATAATTAACATTCACATGGAATATTATTAATTCTTACTTCATTCTAAATCTTTGAAATCCAACATGTAGTTTACCTTTAAGAGCATTGTACTGATCACATTTCAAGTGGCCAGTGATTAGCAGATAGAGTTCTACAATTCATGTGTCCTTGATTTTGTCAGCCAGCAGAAACTGACTAACAATTTTGAAGCTTAATTTCAAACTTTCAGGACAAATACTGTGATTAGTCCACATCCAATCAGTCTTGGCTAGTACGGCAAGGGTCACATTCTATAAACTTGGTAACTGTCTTAAGTATCTAGTGCTGCTATAACAGAAACGCAATAACTGAGTGGCTTTGACAAACAGAAATTTATTCTCTAACAGTTTAGAAGGCTAGAAGTCCAAATTCAGAATGCCAGCTCTGGAGAAAAGTTCTTGTCTCCTTTCAGCGTCTTTAGGTGCAGCATTCCATGAAGGTCTCCTAATGTCATGGCATTAATATTTTCCTGGATCTAGGAGCCTCACAAAGCGTCGCAGGTCCACTCCTGGCTCTTCTTTCTTGGTGGTAATTGGTCTTCTTTTCTCTGCTCAAGTCTCTCTC